CATACCTTGTGATCCAAGCATTGTAGCCTTAACTGTGGAAAGAATCTTAAGTTGCGTTGCTATCGTTGGTATTCTTTCACACACTTGCAATAAAGTCTGGAAATGAACTTTTTTTATGTCAACTAATAAATTTTTTAACTGTAAGATAGTGAAAGTGGGAGAGGAAAGTAGAAGAATTTTTTTTCTTTTTGATGTAAAAGTTTACCATTCGCATTTTAATGTCGGTACATTGTCTAGCAAGTTGGACTGCAAGCCGCGTAACTTCTTCACTGGAATCAGCAATAGCTTTAGCACAATCAATAAGGTCTTTTTTAGTGCCACCTTCGCCTCGCACCAATTGACTCAATCGAGCCATTAATATCGCCATTCTCTTAGCAGCGGCTACAATGTCGTTTTCATGACTCGACCACTGTCGCAGCTCTTGATGTAAATTGTGCGCAGCGCTAAGAATAGGCTGATTGGATGCTCCAGGCAGCGGATATCTCTCCCAAAATGCTCGCGTTTCTTCCTCGTCATCTGTTTCTGGTGGTGGTGGTGGTCGGGGTGGCGGACTGATTTCAACAGGTGGTGGCGGACGAGGAGGAGTTGGTATTTCTTCTCTAATATAAATGCGATCATGACTGACAGGACTTGTGGGTAATCTGGGTGGTACTGATTCAATTAGAAGGGTTTGGCCTGGCTGAGGAGTACTGACTCCAGTAATGGCATCACCAACTCGCCTAACTGCAGTGAGCAGATGGTCATTAGCATCTCGCCAATTCTGTGCACTTCCGGAATCCCGAGGATTAAGTGCGACCTGTTTTGCATCGTTAACCATGTCAGGAATAGCTGCAAAGCAGAATTATAAGGATTTTAACTTGACAGGGATGCGACCAAAGAATGAACATTACATACCTGAACGTAATTGACTAGCAGCATTTTTAATTCTTTGTGCAAAGGTTGGTTCCTCAGAGTTATTCATTTCATTTTCGGCTGTCATCAAAACGCGATTACCCAGTCGAGCGATATGTGAGGTATTGTCCACCATTTGCTGGGGTTGATTACCACGAATTGCATCTTCGCAACGGCCAGTATATTTTCTCATGGCGTTTTCACTTGCTCTTACGAATTCCCCGGCATCTATTGCATCGTCAACGTGCGACCTTAACTTTGTAAGAGCTTCAGCAAATTCACGTCTCAAGTTTGAAAAGTGTTCATCCGCTGGGGCCGAATCGTTGAGCATACGTATCTTTCCAGCATTGAATAGCTGAGGTGCCATTGCATCAACCTAAAAAAATTAAAGTTTAAAAATCATTAAAAACAGTCATTAACACTTTAATTACATTGCGACAGCTCAAGACCTTAATATCAATCATTGGTTGTTGAGTCATAAGTTTATCTTTTGAGGTTTTCAGTTAGCTGAACAACTCACGTGACTTGCTGTATCTATTATAGCCTCTACAGTCTTCTTGTTTTTGCAAGGTCCACACTTGGCCACTAACATTGCCGTAGTTGTCCAACGCTGAGTATGGTCATCAAGATTAGCTCTTTTTTCTTCAAAATTCTTTTCTCGATTTGGCATTGAAGATGGAGCGTAAACAGCATCCACAAACTGTTGTAATGGTGTAGTTATATCTACAAAATCTTCCACAACTCTGTCTGTCAGCACCTTCTTCATAAAATCTGCTAGCTCCCTTAGTTTATTAGCCAAAGCCTTGCGAATGTTTTGAGCTTCTGGGGAATCACCAAGGCCATTTCTTTCCAGCTCAGCTAGACGGTTAGCTAAGCGGTCGATGTCAGAGCAAAGTTCTAACATTCGCCCACGTTCTGCAGCAGGCAGAAGATTAGCTAGTTTCCGTGCTTCTTCAGTCATTGTTTTGACTGCCTGTAGTCCTGAAACATTCACCTTTTTGCTCTTACAATTAGTAGTTTTCCATAATGCAAAGGAGAAATCTAGACAACATATTATTTGAGTAAATTTATCAAAGTGAATATTAATCGGTGAAAAAAATTAAATTAAAGTTTGCGGTTGTTTCTTGATGACTTTACTGGCATTTTATAGAAAAGGAGTAGCGAGATTTACAAAGCAATTTTTGAGAGTATCAACCCTGTACTTCAATGTATATAAGCCGATAAAAGGTCATGAAATTCTGATAAAGTATTCGCCTAACTGAATTTTAGCCCTTGTTGATTATTTTTATAAATGGACTACACTCAACACTGAAATCATAAAGGCGACTCTACCAAATAACTGTACGAAGAGATCAATTCAATTGTTACACAGGCATGAATGTTTTTTAGGAAACTGTACCTTTTTTACTTCTATCCCATAGTCTCCGAAACCTCATAATTGGAATTATGTTATAAAATGGTAAATTTGAGGCGAAAAGGAGTGAAAAATGAAAAGACGTTGGGGGGAGTTGTTAGCAACAAATAAATGCTTCCCACTGAAAGGCTCCGAAACAAAAAGGGCAACTTTTTTAACCCTAATTCCCTCCAAACCGCAACCGGGTACTGTTTGCTAAGCTTACTTTGCAGAGCACAAGACTCGGCTTATGCATTCTGGCTTCTGTTTAATTTGCATTCTTTTTTTATTAATACTCAAACAAGATGACAAAGTCAACTACTTCGTTCTTTTTTTCTTGATTACAACAGTAGCAGGTGTTTTTCTGCCATTTCAACATTTCACTGGGGAAAATTAACAAAAAAAAAGAACAAAAAAGGATGAAAAGGGCCAATAGTAATCTTAGCAAGTGGGAATAAATGCCACTTTGTTGTTTTTTTCTTAATTCTTGCTTGATCTTTTCTTCACTAACGATAAGCTAAAAAAGATATGAAGCAAAAAACCTATCGTAATAGAGCATCTTCAAAAATTTATTAAGACAGCCTAGATGGCAAAATTGTGAATGTAAGGAAGTAACGTTTTGACCCCTATAGTTCAGCTAATTATTTACTGCTATTCAATCCTTCACAGAATAACATTATTACCTAATCCACCATCGTCTACTCCTGGATTATTCAGCCATCTCAAGGCTTGCTCAAGCCTTCCTGCAACTGTATGAGCAGGATGAGCGCCTCCCGTTTGTTGGGCATTTTGAACGGCATCGGGTAACATTCCGCGAATTTCCTTTGTGCCAACGAGTTCCTTTAGTTTGTTAGCACAGCTAGCTGCCAACCCTTGATTTTCACCTCCCCTCATTCGAATTTCGCATATGGAGTCTGTCATTGCTGTAATGTCGCTGACTGCTCGTTTAATTGTCCTTGCGTCTTCTGGCAAAGCACGGGAAGCAATTCGCTCAGCATAGTCGACGATCCTTCTTATTGCCTTCTCTCCAATTGATCCCGGACGACCACGTGGATCACCTAACCAGTCAAGTGCCGCAGTAAGAAGACTTTGAGCGGCACTTAAAGCTTTCCGCATTACAGTAACATTATCAGAATCCCATTCATCTTCATCATATGTCGTCAGCTGCAGCACCCGAATTATTTCATTCATTTCATCAGTCATACGTTGAGCAAGGTAATTTCTGTTTTCTGCAGCTTCTTGCTGTCCACGTTGCGACTCTTCCGTTATTTGGATAAATATTTTCATTGCGCAAATTAAAATTGGCGAGAGAGTTTTGATCGAATCCATACAACGAATCAGTATTTCACGATGCGCGTTATGAGTAAGCTCTTTTTCACGAGCACTGACATCCTTCGCTACTTTGGCCAACCATGGTTTAATATCCTAAACACAGTTCACTGTTAAATACGGTTAATAAGGTTGCAAGAAACTGTTTACGAAACTTGTACAAAGCTTCAAATAAACTTGAAAGAAATTCTTCAATACTCAAACTAAACCGAATTTTTGTCAATTACCAACTCTGAAGCAGAACATGAAGCCGAACAAAAATACCCTCAACCTATTCTACTGTGCATTTTTTCACGAAAACCGCTTTAGCTCAAAATCACTGATGTCATTCGAAACGACAATCGGTCCAAGTTTCTGCTATATGTAAATATCTGAACACAGACCAATCTTTACCTCTACAAACTGTAGAAGGTCTTCACGGCTTTCAATCACCTCAACAACTGCCAAATAATCCAAAACTTTGCGGCAACCTTTAATGATTTTTCGCACTTCTGATTCATCAAAACATAGCAGTAGGGCAGATGTACCCTGCAGTATTCCTCTCGCACCTTCAATTAATTTTCTTCGAGCAGGAACTGAATACTGGTCATCTTTTAGCATTCTACAAGCATCTTCCAACAATTTTGAGCTTATTTCCACCCTCTGCAGTGCGGGTGGCATATCCTCCTTCAGAATAAGGTCATCGGACGAATGGCAAGTTTCATATCCAACCTGACAATAACGCATTTTAATTAACTCACTTGTCATAATCCCATACATCAATGAAAATTTTTGATCGATGCACAAAAAATATTATTTTCTGAGTTCATACTTCATAAATATCTCCAAATTTTATTTTCTGTGTCAGCTGATTTCCTGGCTATAATCAATGCCTACAAACTTGTAACTTATGTATCCACTTACTGCCAGAGTTTCAATCTTTTGTTAGAAGATACGGCGAGTTATTAAACAAAACTATTATAAGAATTCTTGTCTCTATATCAGTCAAATAATAATGTCAGCCTTTTCTTCCCCACTCAAAAAAGAAAAAGATTAGAAAAAGGAAAAGTAAAATTAAATAAACTTTTAAAGTGAAAAAAGAAGCACAAAATTACCTTTATCAAGTTATCCACGGCCCGTGATACTGCGCTGACCGGACGGGTAAGATCCGGCATAGCGTTTCCATCTTCTGCTTCCTCATGAAGAATAACTAGTCTAGATACCTGGAATATCGATGGTACCAAAAAAAGGCAACTTATTCTTACTAACAAAAGCAACATTTCTGTGAAACTGGTGATATAATACAGACAAAGACTGAGAAAAATGTCCAAAAAAATTTTTCTCTCACTTAATACAGGCCTAAAATCTATCATACAGAAACTAATAAACAGTAATTTAGTATGATATTGAAAATCGTTGGATTTTCGATTAGTAGATACAGGAATCATTAAAGCTTTCTGTTTCAAATAGACAGCTGCCTTGATTTTTGTCTAAAAGACTATCTTTACTGAAAAAAAAAAGATAAACGATGTCAAAGATTCTGTAATAAAGTGTTTTTCAGATTCTGGACTGTAGAAACGAAGTAAAGAGAAGATTAGAGTATAGATTAGGAGAACCCGATTCAAACCTAATATTTTGCTGACGGGAGAAAAAAAAGTTTTTTTTTTTTCTGCTTTATGTTACTGCTAAATTTTGTGTGCTCAAATCCATCTCAAAACTATATGTAATTTTTCACGTTTTTTCAATTTTACAGCGGCAAATAGCAGAAAAAATAAACGCTTCCTAAAAAACACGAATTGCTTTAAAAATGATTTTGCTCCCATATTACGCAGTTTCAAACAATTGCAATTTTTTCTCTACATTTGCTAACTGCAAAAAAAATTTCTATTGTCTCTCTTCTCTCTCCTTCCTCTCATCTTTAAAATAGACCACTTTGTTCCAATCCGTTTTTTTCCCAATTTTATTGTTTTTTTTTTAATGATAAACAATTGAAGGAGAAAAAAAGTAAGGACTAATGAAAAGGGCAAATAAATTTTTCAATGAAAAATAAAAGAGCCGTCCCATGTAACTGTATGTTAGCTATGTGTGTCAAGACACTTTTGGAATATGCATGTGAATGTGTCAGAAGGAAGACAAGAAAAGCAAAGAAAAACATATAAAAGAGACGGAATTAAGCATAAATCGCAAGGCAAGAACTACGTAGAAAGAGCACAGAAGAATGTTGAGAGTATCAGAAAAAATAGTTTGAGCTAAACTGATGCTAACAACATCTTTAAGAATTTAAGTTATACAATATAGCCTAAAAAAAGAACGACTGATGTAAAAAATTTCTTTAAATTATGGAATTCTAGAAAGAATCTATAAGAATACATCAAAAACATGAAGGTAAACATGACAGAGAAAAATCTGCTGTTGCTATTGCTAAAACAAAGCATAGATAAAGTATTCATCTTTCTTGTTCGTTATCTCCTTCCGCTGCCGCCATCGAATCTTCCAGTTCTTTCCCTCCATAAAGTATCAATAACTTAAAGTCATTCTTAACATTCTTTTTTCCTTCCTCTACAATGTTTAGTCCTATAAGCAACTCTTAACTGTCGGATGACAATGCACAAAGTTTTTCGGGAAAAAAAAAACCCATTTCCACTCACTGAGGCTTTGTGTAGCAGAAAAAAGAACTACTGTGAACAAAGTAAATAAACATTTGGGAAGACGAGGAAAATTTGCAATAAAGCGAGGGGACAGGAGGAACCGAGAGGGGAAAGGCGAGCAGCAGAGATCGGAGTGTACAGAAAATTTTGTTGGATGAAAGGAAAGGAATAACAAGAATAAGGCTGAAAAGATAGACAAGTCTAGAAACAATTTTAGTGGTAAACAGGAAAGAGAAAAAAGAGTTTTTTTT